TGGTAGTCCATGAATTTCAGCATAGTTTTCGAGAAAATTTTTCACGGCGGTAGCAACGGTTATGTCAATGGTTATTTTGGTCTTCCATCGCGGCATTCGTTTTACGTTACCATGAACACGTGGTATTATACCATTCGCCGCTAGATGATTTCTGACGTTTTCGAAGTGAGTGTGACCAATTCCTAACATATTGAGATACATTTTATCTTCTATATATTCTGTCATTATTATTTCCTCAAATTGATCCTGGGTACCATTTTATTTGTTCGAACTACATATGCTAATTTCACTTTCAAAAAACCCAATAATGCTTTCAATATCTACTAATTTTCTCTCCTTATTTCCGAATAACAAATTGTGAAATCTCAACAATATGGGACATAATTCTTTTTGGGTATACTTAAGTTGACGATCAAAGTAACCGTACATTGCCGCAAATCTAGAAGCCAATAGCTGGTGCACACTATCCCTTTTATCCCAGGTTATTCTGTCATCACACAAAACACTAACAAATGTATAGAAAATGGACTCAATTTCGTCGTCCATGGTGTATGAGGGCATTGACTTTTTTGCTACATTTTCAAGAACCTAAAGATAATTGCATGAGTTTGCATCTCGATGAAAATTTAATACATAAGTAAAGGAGCTTACGTTCATGGAAGTGTATGCTAACGTTGCAGATAATTTGTCATTCATCGGTATCACATCTCCGTAAGTAGCAATCCCCCAATCAATCAGGTACCCATGTTCATTATACAGAACTATGTTGGTTGGCTTTATATCACGATGAAAGATCCTTTGCTGAGCGGCACGCTTAACGGTCTTGGCAATATCATGAAAGGCTCGGAGAACTATTAGCAAGCCATGGTTTGATAATTCGAGGTCTTCACCAAACGGGCGTATCACAATAAATCTACACAGAAAGCATTATTAATTGAATGTCCAACCAATAACCAACACTTGGCACATACTTTTCTCCTTTCACGTTTCCATGACCCTTGACTTCAGGGACGAAAATACAACCCAATTCTTTAAGCTTCATAAGGATTCGATATTCATTGTCTGTAGCGGAGGTCTTGAATACAGCCTCTTCACCGTCCATAGTGCCAGCTGCGACAAAAGTTCCTCGGCTACTAGTCCTTTTCCGAAGGAGTGTTTTGAAACTAAAGTTGATGTTGGGAATAGACTCAATCCATCGCCCGACGTCTTCATGTGTTTTATAGCCTGATTCTGTGTTCGGCGCCCTCAGCAATCTCACCAACATATCCAACCCCAATGAAGTTTTATCAGTAAAATCGATTGGGAGTAATCCGGAATGTTCGAAAGTAAAATTTTTGTCCATGTGGAACAACTCAATCTGAGAATCACAAGCCACAGCTCCGATAACGAATTGTCTTTCTGTTTGGTGTTCGAGAATGTTAACAAATCTATCAACGAGTTGTCCTACTGCATCCATGTGATTTGACTCCATGCTAAGCTTTAGTTCTATGACAGAAACGAGATGTAGCCAAACAGCTCGCTTTCCATCCAAGATAGCAATATCAATCTTAGCATTCGGCTCCTTGAAGTATTCCTTTGTCGATGAGTCATGAATGACCCATGGGCCTTCTGGCAGTTTCTTGAAGAACGCAAAAAATTTTTCCTGTGTATCGGATTCGGATTTGCACACCTTACAGAGAGTTTCGTCTGATAAATCCAGGTCAGAGAGTACATTTAAGGCAGATTTCGAGAGGAGATTGTAGAAGAACTGGGGATTAGCAACTGGGGCCTCATTCAAGACTTGCTTTCCGATGCCCAGTGCTGACGTGATTGTATATTTAGCTTTGTTAAGGTTGTATTTCAACAAGCGCACTTCGCCCTTTAGCTCAAGTAACTCGGTCCGAAACCCAGTCTTCAGCGTTTGAAGTTCAAAATGCACCTGTTGGGAAAGACCTAGAAAAAAAATTAATACTATTAGCTGTGTAAAAAAATTAACATTTTTGGACAATAGATTGTTCACTGCACGATAGATGACCCAAATCAACTATGCAAATCAAAAGTTACCTGTTTCAATCTTTTGCCGCTTAGCTGAAGACTCCACTAATGATGAATACAAATTGTTAGTATAATAGGGAAGCAAAATGACAAGAATTTAATGGCAATGAAAATGAAAAATTGCAACAAAAAAATTTCTCTCCATAGCTAAATTTAACGGTAAAATAGAATATATCATGCTATGTCCCCAACGCCCGAGTCACAAAGTCGTTACCAGGCTGCCTCTAACTTCCCGCCCTCCAGCGCTTTGCCTTCCCACTCCCTTACCTCGGGCAACGATGACTTTGAGCGGCTTTTTTGCGGTCTGACCAAAGCTTCGATCTACCACAGTATCTGGCTCAAGAGCCACTTCCTCGCCGTGCCGGCAGAGGGTAATGTCAGCGGTGGTGATATCGTCCAACCTTGGTTTGAACTTCTTCTTTATCGCCTCTTTCAGGTCGGCAACATCCTCTCCGTCAAACTTGACTTTGTCCGGCTGGCTTTCACCATACTTTACCCAGATGTTGAAAGACATGATGGAGATATTTTTTTTTGCGCAGGTTAGCGATGCGATCAGTAAATATAAACACTGATCAGTGGCTTAATCAATGACGTATTATAGGAACTTTCTAGACCTTTCACAATGTAACAAGTGTTCCCCTGCCTGCTTGCAGAATGTGACCAATGATAATCAATGCGCAGAAATTTGCGTTTGTTGTAATATTAATCGTATGCTATAAAATAACATCAATTTACTTACATTTCAAATATGGGGACCTTTGTTTTCATTAAGTTGGCACAATTTGCGAGTTTTATTTTTTATTTAAGAATTTAAATATGCATTGCAAAGATTAACGTAATCAGATATATACAATAATTTTGTCATCTTGA